GAAAATACGACACAGCATTGTCATTAAATAAATTTGCAGCGCGCATAGCCTCTTCCTTCTTAGGGTGATGCTTCTCAATGTAAGATGCAACAGTTTCCCATGCTTTCAGCATTTCTCTTATTTCGCCAGAAGATTGTTGCTTTTCTGTTACCTCCTCCTTCTCCTCTGACAAACTTTCCTCCAAAACTTCTTGCTGTGAAACACAATGCAACTCGATAAGCTCTTTAGTCGTCAGCTCTTGGCTGTGCTCTTTCACAAGCTCTTCGATATCACTGTTATCCACATCCAATCCCATGGTAGTGGCCAAAGACACAATGTCGTTGACTTCAGGTTCCACAGGTACTGTCACGAACCCTTCAAAGTCACATTCGACAACGCTCTCCGGCCTAAGCTTCTTCCAAGCAGAAGTTAGGGTTCTCTTGGAACTACTTCCCATGCCTTGTCGATCATCTTAAGGCAGGCAACGATGAGGAAGTGATTTTTTTTTTCAAAACTCTCTGAGAGGTTCTTCCCTTAAGTCACATGAAAACAATGCTCAAAGAGTGCTTTAGTGTAGAGCTTCTTAAAGTTAGAAATAACTTGCTGGTCCATGGGCTGGAGTAACGGAGTGATGTTGGGAGACAATAACTGGATCTTTATGAACTTAAATTCTTCAGGGAGGTCATACTGTAGGCCTGGAGGATGGGCAGGAGCGTTATCCATAACAAGCAAGACATGGAGTGGCATTTTCATCTCTGGCAAATATTTTTTCATAGAAGGACTAAACACTTCCTTGATCCACTCAGTAAAAAGGTCGAGTGTCACCCAAGCCTTCCTGTTGGACCTCCACATCACATTTAGCCTGCTCTTCTGGATTTTGCATTTATTGAAGACTCGTAGAGTTCCTGAATGGTAAACAAGCAGCGGTTTAATTTTGAAATCGCCGCTTGCATTGGCACACAATAGCAACGTGAGACGGTCTTTCATTTGCTTATGGCCGGGCAATGCATTCTCCTCTGCTGTTTTAAACGTTCGCTTCGGCATCTTTTTAAAGAAGAGACCTGTTTCGTCACAATTAAAAACCTGTTGCGGCAAAAAACCTTCACAATCTACGAGCTTCTTGAAATCGCCTGTGTCGGAACTTGCTCCTTTACGGTGCCTCACGATGCTGTGGATGCCTGTTCTTTTCTTGTACTTCTCGAACCACTCACGGCTTCCCTTAAATACTTTTTCTTTGGCCGTTGATGATCCTGGCGTCTTCTTAACGAGGTCGGCGAAAATATTTTTCGCATTCTCACAAATGATGCTCTCG